AGTTGGCAGAGATAGAATTACCTCAACGGTTAAGAATTCAGAGGCTTTCTCACCCAGAGGGCAAATTCCATGCTTTGTGGGTCCATGTTAAAAGTGAAAATTCCACAACAGAGGAAATGATAAAGTTACAATGATAAGGCAAATGCCAACAGCTGTACAGTAGCTTCCTAATCAAAATGGCATTTCCTTACAATATTTGTAATAAAGGAGTTGGCAGCACAGGAAATGATATATTTTCCTCAATTCCTGCTTTTTTTAATCAGCATTCTTTAATCCAGTATCTTTCGGATTTAAGCAAGAAGGTAAGCATATGCAGATCTCCTCACATTGAATTTATTTCCGCACAATGTGGAAAGGCCAAAAAAAAAAAAAGAGTTCTAACAAGGAAGGGATGATACATGGAAATACTGACTTAAAACACAGAATAACAGACTGCAGAGCAAGAGATATGCCAGAAATGAGGAAGGTCGTTTTTTTTCTCCTTTGATGGACAGTCTAGAAACATGAAATATAAGTGAACAACATCTGACACCGTTAAAAAGGTCTGAGCTAATTTCATATTAAGGCATGGCTTATCAGGATTTGGGCATTGGACATGCAATTGGAACTTGGAGAACAGAATATGGAAGATTCACATTGAATGGTTGACCAGTAAGTGAATAAGCCATCCAGTGTCCTGTCCAGGGGTGGGCTTCAAATTTTTTAGCAAGGGGCTCTCTGCCCTAATGACTGGCTGGGTGGGCGTGGCTGGGTGGGTGCGGCCAACTCGATGTCGTTTCTTTGTCCTAATTACCTTAAAAAAAAGATATATACCAAAAAGTTGTTTATTATTTCCTGCATTTAATACTTAAATAAAAGACTGGGTGAAACCAGGCTTAATAGCAAGTGACTGTGAGAGGGATCTTGGGAGTCTTAGTGGAGTTTTCTGGTGAGTTACGTGATTTTTATTATTTGGGAATTAATCCCCTCGGAGGCTAGTGGCTATGCTATCTGATTTTCTCCATGGCTCTCCCTCTCAAGCGCTGAGTAGATTGTTTATCTAGCTTGCAACACTTTTATGAGCTGTGAAATGCTCTTGGCTGAATGCCCAGAAGTTCAATTAAGCCTATTAGAGCTTTCCCTTGCTGCTTGTCTTTCTGAGGTTATTGAGGGCTCTCCAAGCCCCGCAGAGTCTTAGCTAGAGGCTCCCCCGAGCCCCTGCAAGCCCCTAGCAGCCCACCCCTGGCTCCTGCCCTATCCTATCCTATCCCATTATATTCAGTCTATTCTATTGTTCTGTTCTATAAGTAATCCTCAACTTACAACCAGTGGTGGGATTCCAGATTTTTTCCCACCGGTTCTATGAGAGCACCAGAGGTGGTATTTGCCGGTTCTGCGAACTAGTCAAAAATTCTGCTACCGGTAGGACACAACTGGTCCGAACTGGCTGAATACCACCTCTGCTTACAACCATTCATTCAGTGACAGTTCGAAGTTACAGCAACGCAGAAAAAAAGCGACTCGTGGCCATTTTCACACTTACAACTGTCGTGGCATCCCCACTGTCGTGTGATCAAAATTGGGACGCCTGGCAACTGGCTCAAAATGATGACAGTTGACACCTCCTGGGGGTCACGTGATCCCCTTTTGCACCTCCTGACGAGCAACATCAATAGAGAAAGCAGATTTGCTTAACAACCGTGTTCCTAACAATGGCGGCGGCAAGGAAGGTGGTAAATTTTGCAATGGAAGTTTTGGGGCCTCCACTGCGGTCGTACATTGAGGATGATCTGTATTCTATTCCTATATATGTATTATATATGGATATAGAGATAGATAGATAGATAGATAGATAGATAGATAGATAGATAGATAGATAGATAGATAGGCAGGCAGACAGACTGACAGACAGACAGACAGACAGACAGACAGACAGACAGACAGAAATACATTTCATAAACATTTTGAATACAGTGTATTGTCAGGGCATATCATTTATAGAAAAGCAAAGAAAGAACAGGAATATTAACATTATACTAATAATAATAGTGTAACAGAATAGTTTTGACTAGATTTCTCTTTATATTAGCTTATTTGTAATCTGTTGGTTATATTGGCATTTGTATAATTATAAACCATCTTTATATTTAATTCATACATAGCAATAATCTTTCTTCAACTAATTTCTACCTCTTATCTCTAACCACTCATAAAATCTATTCCATGGTTAAGTAGTAGTCTGTGTCTTTTTTGTCTCTTTCTTTTTAATGTCAATCTATCCATCTGTGCACAGCCTAATATTTTCCAAATTACATCCCCATCCAATGGAGCGTTCTCATTTTTCCAATATTGTGCAAATACAATCCTTGCTGCTGTCAATACATGCAAAACTAGATATATAGTCCCTTGATCATAGCCTGGCAATATACCCAACACAAATATTTCTGGTTTCTGCATTCTATTCCTACTCCGCTCCAAATGAATACGAGTGATCAATTCCTGTGTTGGTCACTGCAGGGTTAAAAAACAAGATTTCTGCTTTTTCCAACAGCCAGGGACTGTTGTTATTCCCAATCTCGTTTGATGCCAGGTTTTTCTCTTACTCATCCATGCATTTGTGTGAATGATTGAGCCTAACATATGCCCAGGCTTCTTCTACGATGATCGTAACACTATAATCAATCAGGCATTTTGAGAAGGGTAACTATAATGAGAACTGAGAAAGCGATTGGCTTTCCTATAGTTCACAACAAGACAGGCCCTGCCAGCTTATAAAGACCTCCTGCACAGGAGCGGCAAGAAATAGCGAACACAAAATGTACCCTCTTGAGCAGTGAATACACACTCCATGCACGTAGCTGCACAGGCAATCATGCACACCTATCAACAGAAGGAAACAAGTGGTTATTACAAGCATGCACGCCCGTTTTAACAGGAGATCTCAAGGTCCCTAAAGGAGAACTTATACAGTGTGATGACCCAGGGTGGGATACAAAATAAACACAGTCACAAAAAAATAGGTGAAGCACCTTTTGTTCTTTCACTTTGCTTCCAAGCTCCAAATATCCTTGACTGGAGGCAAAAAACTCCCACACAAGCCGTTACAAGAAGGAGGAAATGCCGTTGAAATAATAAAGAGTAAAAAAACAACAAAAACCAGGCAAGGTAAGGGCTGGAAGATGTCCACAACTATTAGAACACACACTGGGAAGGACGCCAAACTCAGAGAGGAACAATAAACTAGAGATGTTTCCATGCTTTGTTTCCAGCACTCGCCCTTACGCATGTCCGTCCTCTTATTCAGTTGTCACAACTGCAGCCCATGAAGAGGATCAAGGCCTTCTCCTCCCCCATAGACCATGTCTCTCCCTTATCTTCTCCCTGCGTGCTCTAGGATGGAGAGGGGATGGGCCTGGATCCTCCTCTGACTGCCCAGCCGGCCTCTGCCCTTCCCCAGCCTCCTCCACAACCTCCGGAGCCACACTTCCACTCCCTGTCAGCTATTCCTCCTCTCCCTCAGAATCAGTCTCCACCAAGGGCATGACTAAGCTGCTATGGGTTATTTCTCGACTTGCAACAGTTCCATTTAACGACCGTTCAAGGTTACAATGACACTAAAGTGATTCATGACCGTTTTTCAAAGTTATGACCTTTCCAGCATGCCCACGGTCATGCGATCAAAATTTGGATGCTTGGTGACTCATACTTACAACGGGGGCAGTGTCCCAGGATCGCTTTGTTCCCCTTTTGCGACCTTCTGACAAGCAAAGTCAATGGGGGGGGGGGAGCCAGATTCCCTCTTCCTAACTTAACAACTGCAGTGATTCACTTAACAACGGGGGCGAGAAAGGTTGTAAAGTGGGGATAAAATTCACTGAATGAACGTCTCACTGAACAACAGAAAAATTTGGGGCTCAACTGTGGTTGTAAGTCGAGGACTGCCCGTACAAGGAATCCTTGGGTTATGACCACAATTCAGCCCAAAATTTCTGTTGCTAAGTGAGGCATTTGTTCAGTGAATTTTGTCCCATTTTACCACCTTTCTTGCCATAGTTGTTAAGTGAATCACTGCAGTTTTAAGATAGCAACAGACGGTTGTAAAATGAATCTGGCTTCTCCATTGACTTTGCTGATCAGAAGGTCACAAAAGGGGATCACGTAATCCTGGGATACTGCAACCGTCATAAATATGAGCCAGTTGCCAAGCGCCTGAAGTTTGATCACCAGATCGTCGGGATGTTGCAAATGTCTTAAATACGAAAAACAACCATAAAACACTTTTTTCCGATGCTTTTTTTGTCACTGATTTTGAATGGTCACTAAACGAACTGTTGCAAGTTAAGGACTACCTGTACCATGCTTATCTTCTATCAAGGGTGCAAGAAGAATTTCTTCCACCAGAACCTGGAAACGACGTGGCATTCAGCAAATTCTTGCTTTTCAAATTGTATATGTGACCATGAATTTAAAATCTTGGATGAATTACAGGGAAACCCTTAAGAATAGGGGAGACATGATAACTATCTTGCAGTATTTTGAGAGGCAGGACAAAAAGCAACAGGTGGAAGCTTGTTAAAGAGAGAATATTTGAGGGGCTGCCACAGAGAGGAGGAGGGGGTCAAGCTATTTTCCAAAGCACCCGAAGGCCAGACAAGGAATAATGGATGGAAACTGAACTAGGAGAGATTTAACCTGGAAATAAGGAGAAACTTTCTGACAGTGAGAACAATCAACCAATGGAACAGAAGTTGCCTTTGGAAGTTGTGGGAGCGCCACCACTTGAGACTTTCAAGAAGAGATTAGACTGCCATGTCAGAAATTGTGAGGAAGGAGAAGAGGAGATGGAGGAGGAAATGGTTCTAAATTACATCAGAGGAGGCCTTCTCCATCTTATGACTTTCTCCCTTAGCACAGGTTAGAACATCAGAAGCATTACGTGTGTACATCCTTCAAGAAAACATGTTTAGGGGAAAGAGGAAGAACAGCCCACCAACTTCATGAAACACAACATGCACACATACCTCAGCAAGACACTCAACCGTTGTGCGGGAAGACTGGGAGGCATCTCAGATTCGAATTATTGGCGCCCTTGGTTGCTTTCCAGAATGAAACCGGACCATCATCAAAAAGCTCCATGCCGAATTCCAATCACAGTGGGGAAATAATCCATCTCTCGTGAACGTCAAGAATCAAGGAAACCAAGGAGGAGGGGGTGTTTTTGGAGGGTGTGGGGGAGAAGAACTGGCAAAAAATCGTGCCGCTCCCCTCTTTTCCTGGTCCTCTTCCATGTTGTCTGCAAGGCGACACTCTCTGGAATCTCTGCTCCACTTGCTAAATCCCACAGCGGCCTTGGAGATCCTTGAACGAAACGAACAAGATGCTGAAAATGCTACAGCTATGGAATTTGCCAGGGATGAGATGGAGACCTTGAGGAAGAAGAAAAAGAAACAAATAAATAGAAATTGTTACGTCAAGCAAACAACCAAGAGGAGAGGGAAGGACAGAGCTACACATGTTCCTCAACTTATAAAAGTTTGTTTAATGACCGTTCAAAGTTACAACAGCACTGAAAAAGGCAACTTCTTTCATAGCTATGACTTTTGCAGCAACCCCATGGTCGCGCGATGAAAAATCAGAGACTTAGCAACTGACTCGTGTTTACAATGGTTGCAGTGCCCTCTTGGGAGTCACGTGGTCCCAGTTTGTGACCATCTGAAAGGCAAAGTCAATGGGGAAGCTGCATTGTCTTCACAGTTGTGTTACTAACAGGCAGCAGTTCATTCACTTAACAACGGTGGCAAGACAAATAGTAAAATAGGGCAAAGCTCGCTTAAGAAATGTCTCACCCGACAATAGAAATTTTGGGCATAATGGTGGCCATCTGTCGAATACTACTTCTTGGGCATCCCTATAAGGCAGGAGTCTTTAAACTTGACAGCTTTAAGACTTGTAGACTTCAACTCCCAGAATTCTTCCTCCAGTCATGTTAGCTAAGAAATTCTGAGAGTTGAAGTCCACAAGTCTTAAACTTGCCAAGTTTGAAGACCCTTGCTGTAAGGAGAGCAGTATAGGAATCCCAGCTGTGGGTTAAATGGGTAGGGGGGAGGTAGTGATACCTGACTGTATTCTGAAGCCCATTAGCCTAAAGACATAGCTTCCAGCCACAGGTGAGGCCTGGAATGGGGGCTTTTGTAACCTTGCAAAGCACTAGAGATAAGACAATCCAATCCTGTATTATCTGTCAACCCAGTCCCAAAATATAAAGCAGAGACCTAAATTCTCTCTTCAAATCCTTTCAAGGTTACATTTTTTGAATAGGGTGTGATTAAAATTCCCTTCTCCTCTCTAAAACAAAAATCACCTTTGTTCCTTTTATTTATTTATTTCAGTTCAGGAAAGTTTTTCATTCTTCAAAAGATACAGAAAATAATTTTTCAATGGAATTAACTTCCTCATACAGCTCCTGCGTATAAAACATCCAGTCAGCGTGACTCTAAAATTTTATCCGCTTCCTCAATTCCTCAACCTTTGGAAAACACCAAGTTACCATACCTACATTTTAAGGAGGGGGGGCGGGGGAATAATCTATTTTATCCCAATGCCTACACGCACTTGTGGTATTTGAGAAATTGGGAAATGATTGCAGGGTTTATACATAAATAGGTAAAAAGATTTTTTTTAAAAAAAATCTGCTGTTAGTACAGAGGTCTACTGAACCCTGCCTGTGCCTCAACTTTCCTTAAATGGTTCACTAACTTTCCAAGAGGCATTTGCTGACTTGAGCTTGAATTAAAATAAATAAAATGGTTGGCTTGCTTTGAGGAGGGCAAATGTAGAGAAACGTGTTCCACTTTGTTCCCCCAAATTGCAATGCCAAAAGCAATGCAAAATATCAGATACAATGGAATCTGATGCAATGGAAAATAACAGATGGAAACTTATCAAAGAGAGATACAACCTAGAACTAAGAAATTTCCTGACAGTGAGAACAATGAATCGACCGTAAAATGGAGAAAAACTCAATTAACAACTGTCTTGCTTAGCAACAGAAACTTTGAGCATAACTGTGGTTTTAAGTCAAGGACTACCTGTACTAACTAGTCCAGTATTTTTCAAATTTACCAATGCATGGACTATAATTTCCCAGAATTCCCCAGTCAGCACTGGCTGGGGAATTCTGGGTCTGGAAGTCCATGCATCTTAAAAGTTTTCCAAAGTTTGAGAAAGAGTGGACTAGACTGCCACAAGATATATGTTATTCCTAACTTAGATGAAGAGTTGAAAAGATGATCAAACAACACAGATAACCCTGAGCCAGAAGTGAGTGATGTTTTAAAAGAGAAATAAAGGATCAAAAATAATAATAATAATCTAGGCAGCCCTGAACAGTGGGCTGAAACGAAGTGGATGAAACTTAACCATATTTACAGTTTTACATCTGGGTGAGGTAGAAGAGAGATTAGGTTTTCTACAAATGGAATATGAGCCAAGATCGTGATGTAGCTGCCAAAAAGGTAAATGCTATCTTGGAAAGTATGAACAAAAGCAGAAGGTCCAGAAAATGGGAAGTAATTGTTCCATTTTGCTCTTGTGAGGCCCTACTTAAAAACAGTATCCATTTCTGGACACTGCAGTGGAGAAGAACATCAAGAAACTGGAATCAAAAGTACAGAGAGGATGAGGAATGGCGAAAGGATGCACTATCCATCCACAGCGTTCTCCATTATGTGTCTCAACCGAAGGGAGCATCCAGAGGCTGCTGGCATTGGATAGCTATAATAAATTCAATGAAACTTTGAAGGGAGCATCCAGAGGCTGCTGGCATTGGATAGCTATAATAAATTCAATGAAACTTCATTATCTTTATTATCATGTTTGGTATAGTGCAGGGGTGTCAAACTCATGGTCCCCCCCCCCCAGTTTCTAGCCTGATGCCTGTTTCTAGCAGGGGGTTGGACTAGAAGATCTCAAAGGTCCCTTCCAGCTCTATTCCAATCTATGGAAAGCAGAGAATCCCAGAACTAAAGGTTAAATTGGAGAGATGAAAAGAAATCTTTTTTGCGGTTTTTCCCTAAGAGAACTAAGTGTCTGCATCCAGGAAGTCCATAGGAAATCAAGCTTAGCTAAGAGATTTACTGTAGTTGCTTAATTACATTACAGAAGAAAAGGAATTACTGCATAAGAACAAACTCAATTTGCAAACTCTGAGTCAAATGGCTTTAAAAACCATTTGACTGCTCAAGGCTTTAGCACTAAATTGTCCCAATCAAGCTGCCCCTCACTTCCTCCTCCCTTTGCTTGATTAACTCAAAAGAAGCATCACCTGCCTTCAAGTCAGAATAAGCTGAATGCTCCTTTTCAAGTATCTCTCCCCCCCCCCTTTTTTTTCCCTCCCAAGCCTCTTCTTCCACCCCTTTCAACCCAACAAGCTTCAATCTGCAAACTGCTTAAGAAAAACATCCTTTGGTGGTATGCAATGCAAATCAAACCTTGTTAACAAGTAAATTAAGAGCTACCAGGATCTTTTTATCTCCAGGGATCCATAAATGCAAATTGGATAAAACAAGGCTGTGCAAGGTTTTAACTCTTTCTCTTCTTTGGAACTGCCATATGTTTTGTGGGTTTGATCTAATCTATGGCTGCCTGATTAGGAAACCAGGCCAAAGGTGATCTTTTGAGTTAGCTTGTTAAAAATGCTATTCCTCTAGTGTGAAGTTTGGGAGGAAACTATTATTGTTTAGGGCAATGATGGTTCCTTTTTTTACGACCTGAATAAGGGCAAAAGAGATCCAATTTAAGCCTTCCAATCCGCTGGATGCTTTACTAAATGAAAAGATGTTCTAAGTAGGATTTTATTCTTCCTCTCAGTTGCTAGGAGTCAATTTTACTTCATGTTTAAAAATTCTAACACATCACCTAATACAGTAATCAGAACTTTTTTTTAATCCCACAACTGCTTAATTTCTAATGTTTTCCTGAAAAGTACAACTTAGCTAACAATTGTATTTTTTTAAAAAAATTACTCTTCTAATTCATCCTATGAATTGTGGGAATAGTTTTGGATGAAATTCTGAAACCATTGCAGCACCACATTCAATCTAATTTGAATATCTGGAGCTGTGTTTCTCAACCTAGGCCCTTGTAAGAGTTATGGACATCAACTCCCAGAATTCCTCAGCCAGCTACATTGTTAGTAGGCACAATGCCGGCTACAGCCAGGGTTCCTCAGCCAATCAGTAGCTAGAATGATGGCTGAGGAATTCTGGGAGTTGAAGTCCTCATTTCTTAAAAAGGCCAAGATTGGTCTCAAAAGTCTTGTTCCCACATTCAGTCTGACCCAAGAAGACTTCGAGCTATCATTTATTTATCATAAAGGAGAGTCCCCCAACCTTTTGGGCACTAGGCGACCGGCTCTGTGGAGAGAGGTTTTTCCACAGACCGGAGGGAGGCATGATTTTGCATGTTGTCTCTATCTTGTGGATGGCACAGCACAGTTTCTGTCATGCCGTGGCCCGGTGCCAGTCCACAGACCGGTGGTTGGGGACTCTGGCGTAGAGCAGGGGTCTCCAACCTTAGCAACTTTAAGATTTGTGGACTTCAACTCAGCTGGCTGAGGAATTCTGGAAGTTGAAGTCCACAAGTCTTAAAGTTGCTAAGGTTGGAGACCCCTGGCGTAGAGCATATCGTAACATGGACTAACAATATAAATTAACATTTCAACTAGATTAGTAGAACCCAATAAAATATACATGTTTAAAAAAATCAATGTTCAAATATCCAGACTATTCTATAGACTTTCAAACTTATCAGGCTCAACAGCTTTTACACCACGGTCTGGATCCCAACCTTCCTTTATCAAAGATTAAAAGATCTGAAGATCCTGAAAGTCAGTGACCTTTACAATAATCAAAACAACAGTATTGTTCTAATTTGGGTTTTGGAACACTTCCTACCTTGGCTGTTTGTGCTTTTCAATAGGTCCTTTGATTTTGATCATACTACTTCTTCTGTTTTCCAGAGGGTCCCATAATTTTAAGGGCCTCCACTGAACTGGGTATTGGTTTTTATATGCATTATTCACACACACACACACACACACACACGAGTTTATTTTTTTATTCTTTCAACATAATAAGCCCTAGATGTCAGTT